GACCGTTGGCCTGCGGTACACAGTATCAGGTAGGCATGGAAGTAGCTGCAATGCTTCTCTCTGCTCTGACCTTGTGTCTGGATTGTGATTTCCTAGAAATGGATTCTTCTTGACTTTTAGAATTACTTTTACTTTTGTTTACTTTTTTTTTTTTTTTTAATGTGAGGTTTTGGGGAATTTTGTTTTCTTTTGTTCTGTGGAAAAATGGTTCGTTTTGGTCGTTTGTCATCCTGGCACAGCTGGGACGTGCTGCATGTGGACTCAGAGATTCCTCAGTCACTTCCTACTGACGGGAAACCGACCGACTGTCAGGTGAGACGTCTGGTGACGCGTCTGTGTGCAGTGCGAAGATGATGTAGGAGCTTCAATAAAGTAGCATTACTTGCTGCTTCTGTTGGCAGTGGCAATCAAAAAAAGCTGCACAAATTAGGCGATCGAACAATTGTTATTTTGATTAATAATCTTTCTTTTTTTTATATATAATAATTTTTTTAAAGCAAAAATGGCAAACATTTGTTGGTTCTAGCTTGTCAAATATGAGGCTTTTCTGCGTCATGCATGAGAGCAAAGTGAGCATATTTGCGTTTTGGATGCATCTGAAGTAGTTATCTTGAGCTGTGGGAAATGATGACAGACGTTTTTTTCCACTATTGTCTGACAATGATCGATTGAGCAAAAAATCCATTATGAAAATAACCATCAGTTGTATGTTTACGCTGATTCACAAGCTTAAACTGTTGTTTTTCTTAATTTGATGTCAACCACTATTATCCCTTTTTTTCCCCATTTGTTTTTATTCATCTCTTCTGCTAAATGTGTCTGTTTGTAAATGAGTTGAAATGTGATGGTGACTGGCACCTCATTCATTGCTTCACATCTCTCACCTCAGGCTGAGGGCTTGTTTTTGTGTCACTGTTGCTTCAGGTCTTCATTATTGGAACTGAAACAGCCTTGAAACATGCAGCAGGTGTTGACCACCGGGGGATTTATTTTAGTTTCTATTTCCTGTGTGTGTGTGTGTGTGTGTGTGTGTGTGTGTGTGTGTGTGTGTGTGTGTGTGTGTGTGCGTGCGCGCGCGCGCCCTCAGGAAGGTCAGTGAAACGCTGTTTTCTCATCGTTAATCAACCCACCTGATCAAGGAGAGTTGTTATCAGTTGACTACCATGAAGGGAGTAGCATAGGGAGGAGAGAAGGGGGGGGTCTCTTTGCTCTGTCTTTGTCCCCACTTATTTTTAATACAATCCCTTCCCATTTAAAGATTTTCTCTTTTCCAGACCAAGGTTAATGCCACAAACCACTCCGATAAGATAAGGCTGTGAGGGGACACAAGGCTTGATATTGTTAGCGTGACAGGCCCCGACGGGACCCAATACACAAGTCGCAGTCCCCAGAGAGAGTATAGCTTTATCACAAAAAGAGCTGCGGATCTATCTGGCTGCCCTCTGTTCTGACTGACACGTTTACACAGGAGGCACAAGGAAAACCTTGTAAACATAATTAGTTCGGCAGACCCGAAGCGGAGCGGCTTAGTGTTTACTATGAGGGTATATTTGCTTGGGCTGATGTAAATTATATTAGTGTTATTACCTGCAGAAATATAAGTAGTATTTAGCATAAATAGTTTTAGTGCTTCAAAAACAGTAATTTTCTTCATCATTGTTTAGTCTATAAAATATCAAATAGCGAAATTGTTGCAGATGAATTTTCTGTCGATTGGCTAAATAGCTTCAAAGTTGCCAGACTTTTCTGCTGGTCTTAAAGGAGGTGCTGGTGCTTTAGCTGATCTACTGGGGATAAACAGCTTATTAAAATGTGCTGAAACATGCAAGTAAACAAAGGGGATTTCCTGTTCGGTCATTATCGGGACATTTCTTGTTCCTTGTTTTGGCCAGCGAGCATGGCATTGTTCACGGGTCTCCAGGCAAAACAGGGATTTGAGATAGCACAAAGAATAGTGGCCCAACTTAAAATAGTAAGTAAAGAATGAAGCATCCCATCTGTTTACAGTCACCCTGTAATTTGCTTGGTGTTATTCAGGTAATAGCTTGGATGGAAAGCTAATCTTGCATAAGTAGTGAGTTGATTGAGAATGACCTAAAGAGCACCAGGATGTGTGTTTGGACTAGGGAGCTCCCTACAATCTGTCACCCTGGCTCCGCCTTCAAATATTCAGATCAGCCTACCCCCCCCCCCGACCCTGCCTCCTCTTTCCTGCCCGACACAATGAGGCAGGATCCTCCTGGTTGCTATGACTTCAGGCCAGTGTCTGTATGAAATGCAACCACTGACTGTTTGGCCAGCAGGGCAGGACAGAGATACGTCCTTGTTCGAAGAGGAGCTGCTGTGGGGCACGGCAGGACGCGACAGCCAGACACCGCAGAACCCGGACCCTGTCAGCTGGAACGGGTCGCTTGAAGATCGAATGAAGTTCAACACCAGTCTCTTGATGGGGGGAGAATGACCTGGCAGTGTTCTTAGTCGTCACACAGCTTCTTGGACTGATTCTACGCCAGCAGTCCGGACGGTGTGGATGTGTGTGTGTTTTTCACAGTGGATGTGGAGAGAGAGAGACAGAGGGAGGCTAGAAGTTGAGAGAGAGCGCAGCAGCTGGTTCCAGAATGGGCTGCGATCCATGAATCCAATTGAAGGATTAGGATGGTTTTTGTTACTTTTGACATGCCTCTGGTTTCAATGGTGAGCACTGTTAATGTGGTGGGAAACTGTTGGGGGGGGGGGGGGGTTCTATCCCTGTATCCTTTTCATTTTCAACTTCCTGGCCTTGGCGTTGTGTTTTAGAAACTTTGTTTCTCGTTAAATTGATAATCGAGACGATTGCTTTTGTTTTCCGCAACTGCAGAATGTTTATTTTTAAGTTTGTCTGATTTTTATTCATGGAATATGCTAAATATCTGTTTTAAATCTCAAGAGCTGAGACTAAGACTTAGAGCACAGACTAAACGAACCAGGTTTCAGTTTGCCCCCAGACGTTCCCCGTTGGTCCATGCAGACTGAACACTTCTTGACACCTGTGTCCTTGGCAAAGTTGGCCCAGATTTCCCCCCTAAAAACACAAAATCCCTAAATGGGTCCCGGCTTGTTTTCCTTTCACTTCAGAGACTTTAAATGTGTTCCATTTCCCCTTTGACTCTAGTTCTTGTTTTAAAGCCAGCATGTCTATTTGCAGTTAAGTCACTCTCCTCTTTGGTCATCGTCACTAAATTAAATAAATAAAAGGACTTCAAGCTGAAAACCTTTAGGACCCCCCACTCAGATTTACAATCTTGTTATGCAACTGTGTATAGGCCATTTGTATGCTTTTACTGTAGTTAAGTGGCTTCACAAAGGTCTGGGCATGTTCTTGTTAAAGTGGGAACCTGTGCAATGCAGAACAATTTGACTCGAGCTATTCATAATGTTTACATTTCATTTTGTTACATATACATGCCACAAACTTATATACTTTGATAAGTCTTCATCTGAAGTGTAATGGAAGTTGTTTACTTCTACGAGCTGGGTAGCATAACCTCAGAGGTTTATCCAGACTGCTTATTCATAGTTTATGTCCGTTTATTCAAAGCTCGACTGTCTGTGCTCCTGTTTTTGTCCCCCGCAATTTTGCAGTTATAGTTTGATTTTATTTCGCGTGTATATCGTCTGTATAAACGTCTTCTTTCTATCCTGACACCTTAATTCAGAGGCTAGAAGAGAGGGACTGCTAACTGAGCTACCCTCCGATGAGGTTGTGCCTGCAGTATGAGAGGGGCCATGCAGGGCTCTAAAAATGACAGCAAACTCCTCTCTTGCATGTTTTTTGGGTTACAAACTAGTCTCATCTATATTTTTGTTAACAGTCAATATTCGACTGAAGGCTACATTGGCCGCTATTAGTACATCACACCTGAATCTCCGACCAAACTGTGCGTGGTCGATTACATTTTGACAAGAAGGAAGAATGCGTGGAATGAAAAAGACAATTTTTCTGTCTCTGCTAAATTGTTTTTTGTCCAACAATGTTATAGGAGTGCAACGCTAGATCAGTGGAGTGTGTGTTTGGAAAGCCCTGTAGCTCATCTCATCATGTTATTTACAGTATTGATATAAATGTTTGGTTTTGGGGGGGGGGGGGGGGGGTTTGAGGACCACTTTTCAAACCAAACCTACAACCTTGTGTCTGTGATACCCAACAGCATAGTAGCTTTGGACACAAGTGTT